CTTCCAAATTGCTGTTTACTTTGATAATTGCGGTTTTAATTTATAAACGAATTGTAGATTTAGCAAACCCTAATGGGCAACCTTTTGAACACTTATTGAAATAAAAAGTGATATTATCGTGTGTTTTTGTTTTCTATCTGAACAAATTAAGATGAACAAAGATTTTTCCAGCTAATTTGATAACGATTTGACCGATTTTAAAACATCAAACGACAAAATAAGGGATTTCGAAAGACCTTTCAAACAAGGCTATTACTCGATACCCCTTGTCATTTAAAATTTATAAGGTATGACCCTGAGGGGTAGAGGGTGAAATGGGCTGAAGTAGTTTTTGGTTAAACAGTTGTCCCTATTGACAAATCTTCTGATGAGTCTCGGCGTTTTTTTCTTGTAATCAGTGGTGTATGGACGAAAATACAAATGCTGACCTGAAGTAAATGAAGTTACATAAAATTCCAAAATAAAAGTGGAGGTATACAAATGCTGACCTGAAGTAAATGAAGTTACATAAAATGCCAAAATATAAGTGGAGTGAAGGTATACAAATGTTGTCAGATTGACATCGCTCCAACATATCGACGTTTTTCGAAAATTGTTATTTTGGATATTATACGACATCACGAACAACCATGGCACCCATTTCCGTTGGTCTATCTGTCTATCGATATGTCGGTCAGTCAGTCTATTGGTCTGTCGGTCTGTCTGATGCTAATTCTTGGTCCATCTATTACTTGGGAAGTACCGTTCGCATTTTGATTTCACTCAAGGTTACTAGTAGATATTCCAAGGACGAAAAGGTTTTAGTGTTTTTAAGAATCGATTCAGAGGCGGTGAAGAAAAGAAAAAAATTAAAATCTTTTTTTGACTTTTCAGAGGATCTTAATCAATTTCATGGAAAAAATTGATGTTGGGAGTTATATTAGATGGGCGAGGACACATGTGAATTTTTTGGTGCTAGCAATTTATACGTTTTCCAAGCGCGGTAATTCTACGTCACATTGGCCCTAAATGATGTCAAATATATCTGGACTATGGACTAATTATATGAACCTGTTTGACTGATTGGGTCCATTCAATTACGTATATTGTTATACATGTTCGTAGCTATCTTTTTTCTAAGGACTAACTTGTGCCGAATATAATCCGTTGCGAATTGATAACAGCGTTGCGTAGAAAGTGCAAGATCAGTCTATTAGACGCCATTCTTTAAGTAGACCTAGCTCTTGGTCTTATTACCGTTCTTTTGTGAGATACAGAAAGCATTAATCTCACTCAACCCAACCTGTTTCCATAAATTTGTCTAAATATGTGTCCTTTGTCCTTCAACTGTTTTGTTTTGAACAATACTGTCCAAAGCAGGCATAAGTATATACCTGAATGTATGTACATATATTATGCTGGCTACGCGACCTTTTATCTTACAATTATTATTTTTCTGTTGTATAGCGTGTTTACCTGAGAACAAAAAAGGCGGAAAACAACGTACAACGTATTTTGTTCCAAACATTGGCGGTGTGAAGGCCTTGCACACATTAAAAAAAATTCCTTTCCAGACATGGCAATTAATTATTTTAAATGTCATAGCCAGACGGTATCATGTATTAAAATGTCACAAAGGTATGTACCGTGTAAATTAGCCGACTGATGAATTTATGTTATAAAAGTTTATATTGTGTTAACAGCCACACAGGTCGTACTTGGTATTCACTATTATGAGACACAAATTTACGAATGCTTGATTTTATACAAAAACGTTCCTTCATTGAAAAAAATTATTTTATGAGAAAAATGCCACTTGTGACGACGTACATCAAGCTCCTGGTTTGAATAATAAATACTAGCAGGCCATGTTCCAAACCTCGGTTAAAACATTTTTCGAATAAAAAAATGAGCCGGTAACGAAGGGAACTTCTGTCATCGGCATCGTATCTGATGAAGATGAGGTCTGATTTTTCATCTACATCCGCACAGTTTGGTCAGGCAGTCTAAAATGCATGACGGATCATTAGTATCATTATTTTCAAAGGACTGTTCAATTTCATTTCATAATTACACGTTATCGTTGTAAACAAATGACGTCTTCTTTGGCTAATAGAGTGTTTATTGCTGTTTTCACTTGTAACTTAGTACATTATGAAGCTTGTAAAATTACCCATTAACCTATAGGAAAAAGTTCAATAATGGTTTCTTACCGAAAAGTTTGATGTTTGTGTATATCAAAGATCAGATATTTTGTTTAAATTTTCCTGTTAGTCGTTTAGTATTCACAAAGCACATTATAGCTTCCAGTACTCAACACATACAGCTAAGTACAGCCAAAACCAGTACCTAAGATCTCTGATATAGTATATGGATCAAGTTGTAGGAGATATTGCCTAACACGACCCTTAAAGTTGTTCAATTCAAAACTGGTTTGCGTAGGTAGTTTATTGTATAACTTGGCACCAATAAATTATGGTCTGGTCTGCCTCTTCCTCAATCGACAGAAGATAGGTATGATTTTGTTCCTATTTCTTGTTTCACATTTAAGCATCTCACTCCGAAGAGTGAACTGTTCTTCATTTTCTTGACAAACAAAACACTTTCCTAATAGTGTCAATGACGGTATGTTTTGTTTTTGTCTTCTAGATGATTGTTCATTTACCTTATCTTCTATTTATTCTTATACACAGTGTGTTACGACAATAGACTGAATGACCTGTAGTATGCTGAGACCGCACGAAGCCAGACGTGCTCTCGGGCTGCGTTTAGCGTTTTCGGGGTGATGGACGAGAGTGGCATGTCTGGTATATTAAAAAAACGACAGATAACATATTTGTTTGTCGCTTTGGGAGGATGTGTATGTGCCATCTTAACATCTGTACTCAGCATGCTACAGGAACGTTCAATCTATTATCGCAACATCACCCGGAAGACAGATAAACAGAATATACTGTCATTATTGCCATTGTACTTGAAAGACAAGTAGTTTTGCGGAAACTTAGATAAAAAACGAAGAACAATCTTGAGTGTATCCGCAATAAAGGAACACGAGCAAAAATAGAAGGATTAATAAACCAAGCGACGAACGTTTTTGCTTATTGGCTTTATTAGGCACAAGCAAATGTGCAACAAAAACACCGAAGTGAAAACATATGCCAATCATATCTGCATATGGGTGTAAACTGAAGGAAAACAAGGATGAAAAGGGAAATACAACTGGAAGCCACCAACAAGAGCCTTCAGGCACATTTGTGGCTTTGGTCAGAAGACCTCGTGTTTATAGCTACCTGCCGTGGCACTTAGAGAAATACAAACAAAGAGGTAGTTTTTCATTGTATTTGAAATTAGTCACCTCGGTGGCCGGAACGCCATACAGTAAAGAGACGTTAGAACATGTATGTAGTTCGATATGACCAGATAATAGAGTCCTATGAACATGAAAACTACATTAACCTGTAAATCGAGTACACATATTCTGGATACCCAATTTTTTTTCTACCCTGAACGGTTCGAGATCCGGCACCAAATATCCAAAACAAAAATACAATAAAACCCCTATGCAATATCACCTCCTACTTTATCTACGTTGGTTGCAACTTGGAAAGTAGTCTTTCGATCAGGTCACCCAATTTATTTTTCTCTTCGCGCTCGGTAGAAAATTTCACGCGATAGATGTAGCGAGCTTAACACTTCGTGATCGATTTTCCAAGGTCATGTTGCCCGTATCAATTTAAGTCCGGTAAACGGGTTAAGATATTTAATTTACGCTCCGAAGAATATTGAGTTTCACCCACGTGTCTGGCAAAGTATTTAGAAATCGATATACTAAGAAAATACTATGTCAAGTGTGTTGGCTTGGTACTACCCACGTATTTTCATGCTATTCAAAAAGAATTCGTTCTCTATATACTTCTATACGATGGATAATACAAATCGGTACATTTAGGGTGACATTTTTATAGACGTTGGAGGACAGTGTCATTTGAGGAATGATTTTTATTAAATAACCTCCTTGGGGAAGATGGAAATTGGATGGAAAACTGGAAGTGCTCGAAACTTCCAAAATTTTTCTATTCACGGAAGTATCGAATATTTTAAAATTCTTTTAAAAATGTTTTTCGAAAAGAGTTATTGACTGGAGTTGTATATTTCAAATGGAACACCCTGTATATTTCATATTCGATATCCCAATTAACCATGGTCTAGAACACCGAACAACTGGCCAAAAGTAAAATTTACACGGCATATATATAATTTTCAATACGACAGGGCTTTTTGAGTCGCTCCTTCCAAATTTGGGCTGGTTTGTCCACTTCAAGGTGATATCAATGCCATTTTTGAAAAAAGCTGTGCAGTTGAGCTTCAGTCACTATGATGGCATCTGATGGTTATTTCAAGGTCTTTTCAAGAAAAGTTCAGCATTCGAGTGCAGACGTCTGTCATATCGGTTTCTGCGGAGAGTCCAAATCATGTATCAGTTTTTGTTTATGAAGCCATTTGGAGGAACTATAAAGCTACTTGAACGACAAATTGCAAAAGTTGGCAAAAACTGGCCCTGGATTTTATCTAGCAGTTCTTCAAGGTCCACAAACATTCAATTGAGGCAAACAGCGAAACCTAATGACAGATTTCTGTTACATCAAATGAAATTTCGTACTCACTTTATTATGATCCATATACAAAGGTCCAACTACTTATGAAGCCATTTGAAGTGTATTTTAAAGCCACCTTCATATGAAAGCTACTAAAGAAATCACCCGTTGAACTTGAGCCAGGAACTTTATTAACGTGGTGTTACGGGGGTCTCTATATGTAGATCACTCCAAAAATCCCGCTCTTTTCACATTCTAGCCTGCTATTATTTCTATTGTTTGTTTTGGCACGTCAATACCTATTGTCAAGCACAACAGAAGGCTTCTGCCATGAAGATCTAGTGTCAATTCGCACTTAGAGAGCTTCTTGTCTATAGTTGATAAATAGTTTATGTTCGTATTCTCTTTATGGTGATTCATATTCAGATGTTCGACTACTTCCAACACAACGGATGATTCAGAAGCCCTCCAATTTTGTCATTATAAAGAAGTGTTGAACGATTACACCACAAACTTCAAGATGGTGAATGAAGTGTAAGCAAAGTTCCGATTCCATTCTTACCTTATTGCCTAATTATTAGACTTGAAATAGGTAATAATTCTCATTCATATTAATTACTTTATTTTTTAAATTTTTGCTAGGCTTTCACACAAATGTTATGTGCGATGGTGTAGATATAGATCAACGACCTTGGACTAGGTAGAGTGAGCAAGCCTACGATTTGTTTGTCTACAAAATCTCTAGTCAGGATAAAAGTGTATACTACCGGAGTTTATTTTTTGATAGCTCTGACATTAAATTTGTATTTTTAGGCTTATTTTTCAAAAGTGCAAGTATTAGCCGATTCTTGCATAATTTGCAACGGGAGGCAGAAGCCTAATGAAGGTACATCTTTCCACCGGTAAGTATTACTATTATGTACGTACAATATTGTCACTTTGTTTGGAAACGGTAGTAAAGAGAGTCAAACGTATGCACTAAAACAACGTAATACCGGCGATAAACAATGCAATGTAGACATATACGTTTAGCTCCTATTCTATTAGAATTCGTTGGTATTGATCGACAGAATATCTTTAACTTTTTCGGTCCTGCCTTTGCGGTTGCTTGGTTATGAAAAAAAAACAGAATTAATATATTCCCTCTACTATCCCTCGGCTCACCTTCAGTGATCTACTATCTCACTAACCGGCTCAAGAGTTAAGCAAATAATTATTTCCAAAGTGATGGAAAGGCCAGGAGCCTAAGACCCTAAATAAGCTGTCCTGCCCCTCAATTATAAAGACTTAGCAGACATGACGGCCGATAATTCGTCTCTTGAAGGGAGGTTATGCAAATTATGATGGTAAATGCCCATCAACTGGTCTCGTCTATAACTACTCTTTGCTAGGAGGTCAACGTGGGAGTTAAAATAGGGGTATTAAGTCTAATTTGATTTGCATTCGCCAATGAGGGCAGGCCAGAGGCGTAGGGGCCTTCTGGATTTCCAGCATATGGGCCGAAGTAGTGTCGCCTTTGTTGCGTACAATATACTGAGTCTTCCAGTGGACCATACTCGCATATTCGCTTTCCGATTGTCTGATTTCGCACGACTACACTCGAGTACCGAAGAAGAACAGATCACCGGAACAAATCACACACCACTGTCTAGCGCCAATGTCTTCTTGAATATGGCGTGATATTCACAATCCGCATGCAGTAGCGGGCGATGTGTTTAGCTGTTGTTTTCCTTTCCGGTAGTAGAGTACATACTTATACCATACTGATGATTCCCAAAAAGCATTTAACAATGTTGTATGTGATTCATCGTCTCAAGGAATTAGCACTTTTCCAATGGACAAATTAATTTAGCTCTATCGTTCTCTAAGAACGAATACATTTTGAAATGACGGTTCTAAATTGTTATACCTCTCTTAAATGAACCATACACGGCCAAATTTGTTTGCAAATATGTTTACAAGGTGGTTTGATCCCCTCAGCACACACGTTCAGACAAATAAGCGAAGGTGTCGCTGTTCATCGGTGTTAATATTGTGAAGAAATGTGTAGTAAGGAAGACATATTGGCTTTAATGATAATTTCTGAGGTGTGTGATGAAGATGAGAAAGTAAAACGCGCAAACCAAGAACATGGGTGAAAGAACGGCTTTTGGAGAAGGAAAAATTTTCAAATGGGAGATTGTTGACGCATCTTAAAGGAAGTGAACCGGTAGATTATAAAAATTACTTTAGAATGACCTGTGCAACGTTTGATGAACTTCACTACAAAGTTGGACCTTTTATAATGAATCAGAATACTTAGAAGAGGGAAGCCATTTCCGCAGAAACAAGATTAAGTATTACTCTCCGATTCCTAGCAAAGGGAATTGATTTTGAAGACTTGAAGTTTTTTTTACGCAATGTCTCCACAAGCTATAGGAAAAATTGTCATTGAAACATGTCAGGCAATTATCCACGTATTGAAAGATTGTATTGAGGTATTAATTCCAATTTTGAAACCAATATCGTACAAACCCATGTTGTTCATTTCATTTTAGTTACCTGGAACGCCTGATGAATGGCGAAAAGAAGCAGAGCTATTTGAAAACGTTTATGGTTTTCCAAATTGCATCGGCACTAAAGATGGAAAACATGTGGAAATAAAAAAGCCAGCACACTCAGGATCTCATTACTTTAACTATAAAAAGACATTCAATATTGTTTTGATGGCAGTCGTGAATGCTTATCTGCAATTTTTAATGGTTTTCTGTCGGGCAAAACGGTCGCTTGTCAGATGGAGATGTGTTTTCTAAGACAAAGTTTGCCAAATTATTATCGGAAGGGGATCTTTAAATTCCACCACCTAGAGTAGTGGGACCTGGAGAACAAATCTTACCATTTGTGTTTGTAGCAGATGATGCTTTTCCATTGAAGGAAAACATTTTTAAGCCGTATACAGGATATCATATAAGTAGACAGCAGGGGCTTTTTAACGCGAAACTCAGTTCAGCACATGTTAAAGTGGAAAATGTATTTGGATTGCTGGCCAATCGTTTTCAAGTCCTATTAAAACCTATAAATTTATGCCCCGCTAAACGACTATTATGCTGACCTGTTCTTATTTACATAATTTTTTGCTGCAACAGGATACACCACATTCAGTAAATGTAACCAGAAGCAGCGGTCGATCGCAAGATGGGCTTACCTCTTGAGCCATCACATGCCAGAAATTCAAGTTGCTTAGCAAAAAAGAACAAGGGATGACTTTTGTGATGTAATCAATCATAATAATATTGACCAATAAAATATTATCAATGAACTCAGTTTTTCATTTCTAAACAAACCCACATACATTTACAACTTTAACAACATAAATAATAAGAGATAATAAACATAATTCTTCAATTTTAACTAAACTATACTCAAATCAACAGTATTGACAGGTTTCACACATAACGTGGGTCGCTGAAAAGGTCTGCTACGCTCCCATATTTTTCAACGGGTTCTGTTTGTTAAATTTGTTTATGTTGAAATAATGTGAATGTCGGTGGATGACTAAATAATTGCCGAAGTACTATTCCATTTAAAGGTGTTTTAGAAGGAGGAAGAAATGAATTAGGTGTTGAGGTGCTAGAACTTGAAAGTGAAGAGGTGTTTGATGTTCGTATCGACACAGTACTTAGTGTAAGCTGTTTCAATTGCCCCAACAAAAAAATGTCCTCTATAGCTTTTCTGGCATACAATTGTTGTGTATTCGGTAGTTTTCGAAACGAACAGGTCAAGTACTCAGAAAAAGTCGCAGCGTCGTCCTTCTGCTTCTGAGAATATTCTGAATGATCAACTGCTTTTTGTAGAAATCTCTCTTTACTTTCCGAAGTATTAGCCTTACTTTTTTTTAGGCTGTGGAGGTATGCTTGTTGTTTCCCTGTTTTCGCAATCAATTGAATCAACTCCTGGATACTGTACCTCTTGGTCCTTCAAGAAATCCAAGCAAGAAATATACATACACATCGTCTTCACCTGCTCCGGATTTTACAGAATCATTCATTTTTTTCAATTCTCGTCTATAGGTAGTTCGAATGCTATTTATTTTGGATTTTAGTTTTTCCACAGTACCATCAAAATCGATTTCTTTGTACTCCAATAACAGGGTTTCCCATGATTTGTTTTTCTTCGATTTATTTTTGTACACATCGCTTTTAGTTTCCCACAGTTCGGGAAAACTTCGATATACTTCAAAAAAACTGTGCCACTTTTCGTTGTTTGGAATCGCTATACCTTAAGTTAGTACACGTCTAAACTCGATCAAACACAACTCCGCATGACGCGACGTGCGCACGTTAACCTTGATACAGCCTACTAGACTTTGACGAAATGTTTTCAAACAATGCCACACACACGCAAATTCCCAGATTTTGAAAAGGCCGCGCCCATACAAAATCAAAAACTTTTAATTTGATCAAATGTATTTGCATACATTCAAACTTGTTTGAATATAACGTCACACACCCTCAAATATCATTTATTTGCAAACATATTTAGAAATATTCTACTAAACTCCATTCGAGCTGCAAAATCCTGACGACGAAGGCCTTGATGCAAGCATAGGTGATATGGATGGTACCTATGCTTGTGAATAATCCTTTGGACAGAAGTTCTGCATATATCAGTTTCTGCTCCAGTTTGCCGTGCACTTAAATGTGGATTTTCCTGCAACTTTAATAGAACCTTCAACTGATTCGCCTCATTGGTGATACTTGTATTATTTATACTTTTTCTACTATATTCTACTGCTCCACTTGATGCAAAACGTTCTCGTAGTGTGGAAAATGTTTCCGGCCTTGGATGATGCATATTAAGGTAGGTACCGTTGCTTATAAATGCGAGATGCTATGAAACTATTTCTTTGGTCTTCGCCCAAAACAAACACCATATTCATCATTTCTTGTTTAGAAAAATTCATTTTCAAACACGTTTTTATTATAATGCCCTCAAAGCTAATTTTCACAGTTTGTAACTAATCAACAATTTATTTGTTTCCAAGGATGATGCGACATTTTAGGGAATTAAGCCGTTCCATAAAACGCGTGGTAATAACCGAAAAAATAGCCGTTAAAACCCTTATGTGTCTAGAAAAAGTCTAGAAAAAGCTCATAAAAAATTGAATCCAAACTTGCACAAATTTACAGAGTGATGCATTTGAAATTTTTGAGATAGACTAAAATTAAAAACCATAAATAGATTTTCCCAAAATGTGGCCACCCTGTAAACTCGTATAAATGCGAAATGTTGGTAAATCTCAAAACTGGAGATACTACAGACCAAAATATGTGGATTTACCTAAACATACCTTAGGCCCGTATTTATGGCCTCCTTGATTGTCATAGTTTTCTACTTCTCCGTGTCAGCGCTCTATTTTGAGGTTATGTCACAAACATCAATTTGCATCAGATTGTGCTTAGTTTTGAGTTATATCATGTTTTATCAGCCTGAAATTTCCTACAATTTAAAAGGAAAACAAATTTTCACAATAGGAGAGCGCTGACGCTGACACGAGACAAGTGTAATCTAGAAATTTTTGAAGGAGAGAAAGGAGTATGACAATCAATGAGGCCATAAATGCGCCCTACAATTGTAGGGTCGACTGACGATGCGGGTTTTAGTCCACAAGTTGATAGTTTGCGAGATATAATTTTATTTTCTATTTTTCCTTATTGCTTAAGAAGTATTACAGATTTTACCATGAAACTCGGTACAAGGAGGTTTTCTAGTATGAAAAACAAGAATCCGTTATTTTTTATAGCCAAACTTGTAGAGCGCGCCACCTACTGCACTATTTCGGTAAATAACTTATTATAACTTTTTTGTGCTATCGTGGATACAACAACTGACCAAAAAAATGCTATTTTCTCGTATTTTCACAACAAAAAAGGTTAACTTGTTAGAAGTGTCCAAAGCTAATATTTTTCGAGATATTTGTTTTCAACAAGCAACAAGGAAAAATAGTAAATAAAATTGTAACTTTGACACCCTGTATCTCGCAAACTATCAACTTTTGGACTAAAGCATGTTTAGGTCAATTCACATATTTTGGTCTGTAGTATCTTCAGGTTTGAGACTTCCCAACCTTTCGCACACACCCTGTATAATGTTAAACGTAACATTAACAACTTGGAGATTCAAAATGAACAGTTTTCTATTATCTAACTGATAAGTGCTTTTGTTCTAGTAAAGAGTTCTTAAATTTTGGATGTTTTTATCGTTGAAAATGATTCTTATTGAATATTACTTTCCACACAATTTTCAATTTTGTCAATTATTTTATCGTATTATATTCGTACAATGTCAAATTTCAATTCATTATTGCATACCTAATGAATGTATCTTCGGATAACACATTTTTTTTCATCTTCATTCCTTTTTTGAGACTAGCCATTTGAACCATAACCATATTTTGGCTGAATAAAATACTACTACTGCTACTACAACTATACACGTTTGGTTCGCGTAACAATACAAAATAAATGAAATGTCGCCATTTTGAATCCAATATTACGGATGCTGAAAAATCGCGATTTATCTTTTCATAGTAACCCCTATAACATAGGTATCAGATGAAAGGGCTTGACGAGAGAAGTACAATAAGCAGAATGGCGTAATCCTAAATCCAAAATGGCGGCCGCCGCAATATTGCGATTTATAGTTTCCATAGTCATTGCTATGATATTGGTATCTGGCCATTCTAAATTCAATTTGGCGGACCTCTAATATGACAATGCGATTTTATTATGACGTGGAGCTGATCTGAAGAAGCAGGGAGGCGGCCATGGAAACTTAGTAATAACTAGACGCAATGCATCGTTTGATTTTTCCCTAGTTTCCAATGATTAATATATTAAAATATAGGTACGCTTTATTTCTTCGATCAATTAGGCAGTGAGAGTTAATAAGTACGTCTCAGACATTTGCGTAATATATTATTTATATCGATGGATATTTTATAATATAAATAAAGTGAGAATTTTTATGAAGTCCTATTAAATAAGTGTAAATGTAAATTACATAAAAGATTATAAAACTATATTGAACCTGATTACTAAAAACTAAAAAATAAAATTAAAAATTCATTCATAATCAGAAGCTTTTATTTAGGTATTAAAACGAACTAAAAATTCGGAAATAGTATTTTCCGATTGGAAATATGCCACTTTATACGCCTCAACATTTAAAAAATATTGAAGCTGCTTCATAAAGAGTTTCCAAATGAAAACATGTTACGTTTTAAGAGCAAGAAGGAAAAACCGTTTTTAGATAAACTCCGTGCTATTTTCCATCTATTTATGCCCTAGAAATATTGCCATGCTTTTCTAAATAACCCTGTATATCTCTTGATGCGTTTCACACAACTTTTGTGCAGCCTCAAGAAAACAATAACTTTTTTGGAAACTATGTTTGTGAAAAAAAATGGGTTTGTATTAGCTCATGGGAAGTACTCATTTCTTTAATTATGATCAGTATCAACTTACACAAAAAACCTCCACCGTCTCAACACCATCCCCAAACTATCCCATGCAGGACATATCCACAAAAATCCGTATCCATAGTCACTTGACACCGTCACTTGATTATCCAACGTCAATTATAATTATCGGGAATTGTTCGAAACTCCGATAAGAAAGAAAGCACTAAATGACAATACCTTCAATTCCGAAACCCCAATCTAAGGAAGGCGCTCTAACTTCCGCTCTTAAAAAAGTCACAGAAATTACCAGAGTTGATCTGGAGTTATTTAAACCTCTTAACGCTGAAACTTCCGCTCCTACTGCAGCCGCGAAGTTTAGCGATAATTACATTTAGTTGCCCGAAGCTTCAACTGAAAGTACTAGCCGAAATTACCTCTTGTCAAAAAAGTTAATGCGCTGCTGATCGAAACTCCGACGGGAGGTTCGCGCCAAAACTTCCGCACGCAAGCGATCGCGAAGTATCCTGGAGTTGAGCGCTCGAGCTTTAGCCGGCTGAATTTGGCGGTGAACTGTCAAATTAGCGATGCGTCGGTAGACATCGCGACGCGGTAGAGCGTCGACAGCGCTGCGCCAATGACTGGCGGACCGAGAGATAATCGAGGAAAACTCTGAAAGGTGAAAAGGCGAAACTCCGAACCGGATCATTTTTTATTTCCCGAAAATTAATGAATAAATGAAAGAAAGGAGAACGCTCAGACCATCGCATACTTTTGCCCTACGAATTCGAAATAGGTAGAAGAATTTGTTATAATCCACAATATCCAAGCTTGCAATGGCATACTCTAAGTCGATCAGGTTTAAGCCACCTATTTGACAGTTGC